TTTAGATAACTGCATAATTATAACTTCTTTTAAAAAATATTTTGATAAGTGCTGAACATTTGTTCAAGATTGAACCTCATGACAAGTATTTAGGTATATACACTGTTATTTAAGCTAGGTCAAGCTACATGCTTTGATTGGCAGCTAAGCTATTATATATGAGAACTGGTAACCTCTTACAAAGTTGATAAACTTTATAAAAATATTTACAAAATGCTATCTGTATAGAAGTGGGTTGAGAAACATTGGAATTATCAGTGTCCAAAATTTACACAAGGCTGCACAGGTGCAAAAATTTGAGCTTTAAAGTCTTTTAAGTTTACCCAAAATTCCAAATTGTCCATTTAAAAATCTTCAGGAAAAGAATTTACAGAATGCATATCTTAGAATAATAAAAATTATCTGTGAAACTTCAAAGTTTATATAATTGCCAAGTGTAATCCTGTGTTACTGATTATATAGATATCGGTATCAAATGTTGGCTATATAATAGGTTCTTGATGGATGATTTCTATGATGTCTTCGCTTTTGGAATACCAAATTTCTAACAAAAGAAATGACTTCAAATTAAACAGTAGGGCTAATAATACATGAAAGATTCTTTTAGTTCATGTCAAACCTTTGATCTACACAGAACCTAATGTCCGTCTTTCTATAGAGGACTAGGAAGGGGGTGAAAGAAATAGCTTTATAAAATCTTGTTGGTTATTTCAGTTAAACATAAATAATGGGCAAGAGGAGGGTGCAGAACATATACTTTTTATTGTATAATATTTGGAGAAACTGTATCTGCAGACCCTGATCCTGAAGTAGATGGATCTTTTAGGCAATAGGTAAGTATTCACATCTGAGAATCAATATTGACTTCAGGTAGCTTGACCCATTATCACTATTAATAAAGGTGAAAAAGAGACCTAAAAAGGTACTAACACATTTTTATGTTTCTAACGTGTTTTTTATTCCTGAAATGTCATAGAGTACATGGTAATGGTGGGACTGCCAAATATTCTTGTCACCTCAGTTAGAATTTTGACTTGAGAAACCACTTGCAATTTGCAGTTAGAAAGGCGGCAGTTTTCTTGAGAGATATTTAGGAAAATAATGGAACCATAATTTGGGATTCATAGAGTTCTAAAAATCAATGGAATCATCTAAACATTGGATGCAAATAACGATGACCTAAATAACCACAGATTGAATAAAGGTAAACACACTGGCAATGGAAGTAGCTTATACTTGGAACAGTTCTTAAAAATTCAAGAGCCAAAAACTCCTCTGCAGAATTTAAATTATATTCCTTTACTTAGTCATTTATATTTTCTTGTGACCAAAATCATGAAACGTGAAATGAGTTAAAAGATTAGTCTGTGACTTTAGCTATTTTCATATGATTCATATCATGTAACAATGACCATAATCATAGATAATTATGATTGAATTTTTGACTCCACCATAAGCTTTTATGTAATAGGTGTGAGACATGAATATGCAATGACTATCTGCATATTGATCCTATAATTGTAACAAAACAATTAATTATGCTGGACATTTGACCACATTCTGATGATTTTCATAAATGTCTCCTTTCATATTCTTTTCTCTATTGTCCTTTCAAAATAGCAGTACATAATAAACTTTAACACCATTAAAATCATTCTTAGTAATTTTGACTCAGTATTTACTGTCACCTCTTGTCTCTGGTAGATTTGGTACAGTTTCTGAAAGGATTTCCTGTTTAAATTCTGGGTTATTTTCTCTTAGCATTTACAAATGAAAACCAGGCATGCTTTCATTATGTTGATTTGTTTTTTTCAGCTTGTAAAGCTAAAATGTATAAAGCTTGTGAAGCTGAAATGTGTCATAAAAAAGTATCAAGATGCCCCAAGCCCAATAATATAAAAATTGTACTTTATGTTAATTGAAAATAACTTGTGACAATGATAACTCTTTAGGTTATATGGTGAATTATAGCAATATAGGTGTTTATATGTAATATTTTATTTAAACTCAACTGTATCTGTATAAAGAGGTAGGTACACATAATTGTACAAACGAAGAGCCTGAATCTGAGATAATTTAAATGACTTGTCTAGGTTCTTTGCAAATTACAATATTCTTGTGATATTGCTCAAATTTCCCCTGCTATTAGAGTTATATGAAGAGTCAAAGACACCTAAGCTCTACTTATTTTGAATATAACATCATACTTTTATGTTCATTAGGACTAGAGAATATTAAGTTTGAGTCTATAATATGTTTATATTTAGTCAAAGTTACATATGTTGAAAGTGTTAATAGGAAAAGGAAGTGTTGTATAAATTGCTTTAAGTACCAGGGAAAGGTCAATAATTGACTGTCTCCTAACCTCATTAAATCAATATTTCTGTCTATTCCATTTTTGTAGTGGGCAGGTAAATACAGATGGGGAAAAGCAACTTGGAGAATTGGTGTAAATGTAAAGTTACAACCACAAATCTCAAGTGGACCTTCAGCACCTCTCCACAGTCCGACTAGAGTTCCCTGGCCAATCCTCCATTGCCTAGATAATTTTTCATACTTTCATTCAACTCACTAAATCTCCAGTGTCACTTCACTCCTCACAATTTCAGTAGATGATCTTGTTTCTTGCTCTTTAACAAAATAGGAATACTAAGCAAATAACATTGTAGAACCAAGTATGCCATCCTACCTATTTGTATATGGTGTCTCCTCTAGTTATTAGGTTGGTGCAAAAGTAATTGTGGTTTTTGCCACTTTTTAATGGTAAAAACCAATTAAAAATAGTAGCAAAAACGGAAATTTCTTTTTCATCAACCCAATACAACAGATGGGTTGTACCTTACTCCAGATAGGATGAGCCTATCTGGAGTTTAATTGTAAACTACATCACTTGCTCACCTTTTGCATAAAACAAAGCACCCATTCCAGTTTTTCACTTTCTTTTTACATAACCATGTTTTTCCATCTATTGGACTATGACAAAAAGTATATTTGTATGCTATAATAAAGCTGATCTAAAACAACAAAAACAAAAATCCCTTTGGATATTAATTTCCCTCCAGCTACCACTGTGTCTCTCTTGCCCTTTATAGTCAATCTCCTCAAAACACTTTTCTACATTCGCTTTTTTCATTTCCTCACTTTCTATTCTCACACAACTGTTCTTACTGAGGTCACTACTGAACAATAATGAAGCATTTAATTTTCTGAGATCACTACTGAACAATAATGAAGTATTTAATTTTCTGAAATCACTACTAAACAGTAATGAAGTATTTAATTTTCAATTTCCAGTTCTCATTTTAGTCAAGCAATACACATAGTTTGATATAGTATCATTCTTTGTTTGCTGAAATTATTTCTTCCCATAGATTTGGTGACACCTCGCTGTTTTTTCTTTCCTTTTTTTTTTTTTTTTTTTTTGATGGAGTTTCACTCTGTTGCCAGGCTGTAGTGCAGTGGCACAATCTCGGCTGACTGCAACCTCTGCCTCCAGGGTTCAAGTGATTCTCCTGCCTCAGCCTCCCAAGTAGCTGGGATTACAGGCACGCGCCACCACGCCCAGCTAATTTTTGTATTTTTAGTAGAGACAGGGTTTCACCATGTTGGCCAGGATGGTCTCAATCTCTTGACCGCAGGTGATCTGCCTGCCTCAGCCTCCCAAAGTGCTGGGATTACTTACAGGCATGAGCCACGGTGCCCGGCCGATACCTCACCTTCTTTGTTATCCTTTTATATACTTTGGTTACACTTCAGAGTGTCCCTGGTTGCATCTTTTCTGCTTCTCCTTGATTTCCATGTTTTAAGTTTCCTTTCCCTGCCTTCTCTTGTTTCTACCTACGGTCAGTCCCATGACTTCAAATACTATCTACATGTAATAATTTTAAATGTATATTATCTTCCACAACTTCCAACTGAATCTCAATTCACTATTCAACATCTTCACTTTATCTGTCAGTCTTAACTTAATAAAAACTGTATTTCCATGATACAAAACAGTTCTTTCCATCACCTTCTTAAATTCAGGATATTACTCTTTTCTCCTAGTTGCTCAGATCAAAATGGTTGGAATGTTCTTTCACTCCCTTCTTCTTATACCCTACATCCAATCCATCAGTAAATCCTATTTATTTTACCTTAGAACTACTCTAGGATCCAACTACTTTTAGGTCAATCCACCATCATGTCTTGCCTAGATCACTGGAAGAACCTCCTAACTAATCATATTGCTTCTCTTCTCTTCCCTGCCATGCATTTATCATAAGAAGCCAAAACCATTCCCTTTACAACATAATCTGATTCTGTCTCTCCTTGGTGATTTTATGTAACACTGAAAACAATATCCAAAGTCCTTGTTCTTAATGCATGATGTGTCATCACTCTATATTCTCTAAGCTCCCTTGGTTTTTTTAAATAGCATTTCTAGCTAACTCATTGATTATTGTCTATAGCACCCAAACCCTCCACAACCCTCCCAAACGTAACTTACATGAGAAAAGGAAATTTGATTTCTTTGCTCACTGCGTTCCCCAGCACCTAGACTGCCTAGACTGTAAAATAGTGCTCAACAAATTAAGAGTAAATTGTTAAACTTCATCAATATGGATGGTACATTGCTACAGAGTAATTTAAATGTGAATGAATCAGACTGTTCCTATAGTCTCCAGTTTCATTATTCCCTCTTTACAACCCATGCATTTCAGACACTTACACATCTGTTTGGCACCTGACAACATTGAGAGGTTCTCATCTTAGAAACACCCGAGGTTCATGTATTCTCTACTACCTTGTGGTGTAAAATGTCAAAATCCCAAATAAATAATGAAAATCATTAACTTGATTAGTTAAATATGTTCTTGTTAAAAACCAGATTATCATAGCCCTAAAACTTTAAAATTTTGGTTTTTTTTTCCCCAAATACACATATTAATATGAGCCTTACCCCCTTTCTTTTCTACTCCAATAAAAAGTTGAATGAGTAAAAGATGACAAATTCCTACCTTTGCTTTCCACATTAACCATAGCCTGAAGATATCAACATGTCGGCCACACTGAATAGTTTTATCCCCAGTGTCAAAGTCAACATTGTAGAGTTTATCTGATGGGAAAGATAGTCAGCTTGCATCTGATTACATGCATCTAGAAGACCCTAAAAAAGAAAAAAACATATCTAACATGTAAGTCAGGTAGATTTCAATAAGAAACCACAATTATTTATTTCACTTAACTTACTATTTCCAATTTGAATGCAAATTTAGGTAGAATTTTACATATTTAATATAGAAATATATTCTTTTTTGAAAATGTTTGAGCATATTCAGTTGTTTTTTTGGATTTATCTGGAATATGCAGGTGGTGCAATTTGGTGAATACTTGTCTACTTTTTAAAACTTAAATGCCTTGAAGTCTTGCTGCTATTTTGAAATTATGTGACTGTTTTTTAATAATGTTAGTGAAAACTGACTGCCTAGTCCATTTTAACTAAACTATCCTGTGAACCAACGGTGTAGATGCCAAATAAACAGCTCGGATGACCATAGTATATGAAGAATAAAATAATCCATGCATTTAATCCATTTATTTAATTTTATCTTTTTCTAGCCTTTTGTCTCATATAAAAAATGTGGAAAACATTCCTCCTCGGTGTTAAAGACTTCAGGAAGCTTTATTTTGGAAGATTAAGAAATAATCACTAGAAAAGGACATGTTACCCATCATTGAGACAGAAATGCTTTTCTCCGTGTGTATGTTGCTTCAGCACAACAAAACCTAAGGTTATGTGCCCTGATGGGGTATAATTTAAATGTAACTTAAGCAGAACTATTTGTACAAGAGGTAAATAGCATTATATGTATTATGTGTTTGTTATGTGCTTGCCACCTCACATGACATCATGTGATCCTCATGGAAAACCGATGGTATAGGTACTATAATGACATCATTTTTATAGATTGAAGAAACTGAAAATGTTAACATGTTTGTTAAGTAATTTTTAAGAACATATATCTATACAATGATGAATCTGGGAGCTGACAAAAGGGCAGTCGGACTTGAGGTTTGTGGAAACCCAACATCCTACAGAAGATAACTCACACTCACACTCTGTTTCAGGATAGGCTTGTGATCTACAGGAAAGACCACAGTGCGATGGTCAGTGTTGAAGTATTTGAGGGAAATAGAATAGAAATTATAACTCAAAAATATTTTATGAATATGTATTTTGGGTGTCCTATTTACATGAGTAAATATTTTTTTTTTTTTTTTTTTTTTTTTTGAGACGGAGTCTCGCTGTGTCGCCCAGGCTGGAGTGCAGTGGCCGGATCTCAGCTCACTGCAAGCTCTGCCTCCCGGGTTTTTATGCCATTCTCCTGCCTCAGCCTCCCGAGTAGCCGGGACTACAGGCGCCCGCCACCTCGCCCGGCTAGTTTTTTGTATTTTTTAGTAGAGACGGGGTTTCACCGTGTTAGCCAGGATGGTCTCGATCTCCTGACCTCGTGATCCGCCCGTCTCGGCCTCCCAAAGTGCTGCTTGAGCCACCGCGCCCGGCCAATATTTTCTTCTTAGGCTCATTTTGAACCTCCTTTTTAATCTTTTGTTAGAGCAGGTCTAGAGACTATTGAAAACAGTATCATCAAGTAATTAATACAGTAATTAAAACAGTATCATCAAGATGAGCTTTATCTGATGTGATGATTGAGCTACACTTACTCATTAAGCAGCATATGTTTATCACACCTGTCATACATGGTGCTGAGACAGTGGATTTGTGGTGAGAAAAAGGGTAGAGAAACTCTGCCTTCATGTAACTTATAGTCTGAGTGGCAGGAGGCTGGGTAGGTAAGGGCAGGGCTGGGCACTAAACACAATGTCACAGATATGAATGTCAAATTATACCCATGATAAATGCTATGAAAGAGTTTTCATGGTGCTATAGAATATTCTGGTCTAAGGGTCAAAGATTCCATGTAACCTGGAAGTCAAGAAAGGCCTCTGAGTAAAAAACGTTTTCTCTGATTTCTTAGCCAACCATGAGTATGCTGAAATAATGCATTTCATTCTACGTAAGTACCTATCATGAGTTTTCAAATAAATTGTTTTGTTATATTTTGTCTTGTACTTTATCTTTACCTAAAGATAGATAGATGGTCAATGGAAGTAGAGCAGAATTCCCAAACCAATAAGCCTTTACTATTTTTAAGGTCATTTCTGGAAAACAAGTGTATCTTGGTGTAGCCTTGAATTAAGAGGAATGTTCGATTCTTATCTCTTAACCACTTGAATGTCTGGGGCTGCAGATGGACAATTTTAATTCATGCCTTAATGAGTAGAACAATTTGAGTATATTCAATATTTAATGAATGTATTTTTCAATACTGATGAAGGAATTGAGTATAAGGAAGTAAGTGTGTACATTTTTGTATAATTGTACATAAAATACATTTAAACTGATTTTAAATATTCTTCATTTTTATGCTCAAGGGAATGAAAATACCATATGTTTTTCAAATAAAATGCCAACCACATCAATTTCATTCATTCAGAAGAAGCTTTTCATAATGCAAAATATAAACTCATTAAGTAGCTTCTCCTTGTTGCTAGGATGGGGATTGAAATCCTTGACCTGCACAAAGGCCCAGGAGGTGTAGTCTGTGACTTTCTCTGAACTCTTACTTCCTCTTGTGTTTCCTTTTGTTTTATTCATATCCTATGGCCTTCTTTTAGTTCCAAAAAGATGTACTGTAGCTCTCTCCATTATGATCTCAGTACATCTTTCTCCTCCCACCTGTCAGTCATGGTCTGACTCAACTTTCACTCCCACGGCTCTCTTCCCCCAGCATCTTTCTTGCTAAACTGCAGGCTTTGAGCATGAAGCACCTGCCATTTTGTGGACGGGATATTGCTGCCATGTAGCCAACTTGGCAGGAGCTGAAGCAGAGCTAATGTTAATGTTCCGGTCAGCAGAGCTGATAATGCACTAGGTAGTGAGGGAACAAAGATTCCCTCAGAACTAGGGAAGATGAAGTGAGCATGAAGTACTCAAAGAGTAGGCAGGAAGGCTATAGTAGGAAGACATTATTTTTATACCCAAAACCCGTGGATTGCTTGCAAATAAGAGAAAATAGAAAATGATGTCCCCAAAGGTAGGTAGAAATGAAAGTTAGGTAAAATGTGTTTCCAACTTGACAACTCAATAAAGAATATGCAACTTTATAATTGTATTTCTACTTGGAGGAGATAATGAGCTTAAGTCCTTGTATACCGTCACATTTACTATGAAGGGAAATAAAATAAATATACATGTAAACAGAAAAAAATGTCATACTACACAAACTTTTATGCCTTTTTTTTTTTTTGAGATGAAGTCTCAATCTGTCACCCAGGCTAGAGTGCAGTGGCGTGATCTCGGCTCACTGCACCCCCCACCTCCCAGGTTCAAGCAGTTCTCCTACCTCAGCCTCCTGAGTAGCTGAGACTGTAGGCATGTACCATCACGCTGGGCTAAGTTTTTGTACTTTTAGTAGAGATGGGTTTTCACCATGTTGGTCAGGCTGGTCTCGAACTCCTGACCTCATGATCCACCTGCCTCAGCCTCCCAAAGTGCTGGGATTATAGGCGAGAGCCACCACACCTGGCTACATTTATGTTTTTTGTGCCAAAAACATATTACAGTTACTTATTGTCATCCACATGAAAATATGACCTATTATTGGCTCTATACTCTACGATTACAAATTGGCCAGTGAGACAAATTTGATCCTTAAGAGATATTTTGCTTGGTGGCTTTTTAAAATTATTATTTCATTTTATTTGTAAATTGATGAATAAAATTTTATTTATTGTGTGCACAGCTTGATGTTTTGGCATATATGTATGAAGTATTGCATATATGCATATTGTACACACACTATGCATTGTGGAATGACTAAATACAGTTAACTAACATGGATTTCCTACATAGGCATTGTGGAATGTGTATATATATGAAATATATATGCACTGTGGAATGACTATATGTAGTTTATTAACAAATGCATTGCTGCATATAGTTTTCACTTTTGTGGTGAGATCATGTAACACCCACTCTTTTAACAACTTTCAAGAATACAATATGTTGTTATTAACTATTGTCACCAGGTCCTACAATAGATCTCCTGAACTTATTCCTCTTATCTAACTGACATTTTGTATCCTTTGATCAACTTCCCCTCGAAGTCCCTCCCCCAACTGCTTCAGCCCCTGGTAGCCACCATTCTGCTCTCTAGTTCTTTAAGATCAATGTTTTTAGATTTTACTTATGAGTGAGATCATGGGGTATTTGTCTTTTTTGTGTCTGGCTTACTTTACTTAACGACTTCCAGGTTCATCCATGTGGTCACAAATGGTAGGATTTCCTTTTTATTAAAAAATGGACAAATAGTATTCCATTGTATATATACACCTCATTTTCTTTATCCATTCATCCATGAATGGACCCTTAGATTGATTGCATAATGTGGCTATTGTGAATAATGCTGCGGTTAGCATGGGAGTATAGCTATCTCTCAGGCATTCTCTTTTCATTTCATGTCCTTTAGATATATACCCAGTAGTGGGATTGTGAGATTCTATAGTAGTTTTATTTTTCATTTTTTGAGAAATCTTCATACTTTTTACCCATACTTTTTTCACTAATTTACATTCCCATCAAAAGTGTACAAGGGTTTCATTTTTTCCACGTTGTCACCAATGCTCATCTTTGTTTTTTTTTATAATAGGCATCCTAACAGTTGTGAGGTTATATCTTACTGAAGTATTCATTTTCATTTTCCTGATGATTAATGATGTTGCACTTTTTTTTTTCATATATCTATGGCCATTATGTTTTGTTTTTTGAGACAGGGTCTCACTCTGTCACCTAGGCTGGAGTGCAGTGGCACGATCTTGGCTCACTGCAACCTCCTCCCAGGCTCAAGCCATTCTTCCACCTCAGCCTCCCGAGTAACTGGGACCACAGACACGCACCAACATATCTGGCTAATTTTTTGTATTTTGGGTGGAGATGGGGTTTCACCAAGTTGCCTAGGCTGGTCTTGAACTTCTGGGCTCAAGCAATCTGCCTGCCTCGGCATCCCAAAATGCAGAGATTACAGGTGTGAGCCACTGCGTCTGGCTGGACATTATGTTTTTAATAACTAGGTTATAAATAATCAAGTTTTCTAAAGATCTTCTCACCGTCTTTCATTTCATAACACACCTTTCCACCCACAGGTAGCTGGTTTACTGCCTATGCACTATACTCATTTGATTTTGTCAAATGACTAATACTTAAAGATCAAAGGAGGAGAACAAGTTCTCCGAAGGGCAAATTGTGCTGCAGTATGTTTAATTCAGTGAGGTCATATTTTTGTTAATTAAAACGTTCACAAGGAATCTAGTCATTGTTAAGCCATTCCTTATGTCGCTAATTAAAAACAGAAATAATTTACTTTTTCCCGGATCAAGATAGCAGAGTATTGAAGAGGGATGCCCATTACTTTGTGTAGATTCCAGGTCACAGAGTTGGCCCTGGGTGACAAAACAGCTCCAGTTAGCACTCACAGTCACTAGAAAAGGAGTCCAAATGGGTTCTTTGGCTTTCACAAGCAATGCCCCAGGTCTTACCTTTCAATGCCACTGAGTTTATAGGAATAGTTTCTGGATAGTAGCAGTCCACCTCCCCAAGCTGCCTACAACAAAGACAAAGAGCATGTGTTCTTATACTAATTACTTATTTTTCAATTACACTGACTACTTTTTCTATGTTAAATTTATTTGAAAACATGATGAAGATTTAATTATTATGCTAGATAATTACCAAGCTGGCTATAATTATTCTACTTAAAAAACAATGCATTAAAAAATTTTCCTACCATGAATTTTCATTGTCTATTCATGACACGGTGAAGTCTTAAGTTCCTAATTAATTCAAGAAGGCACTTTCTGTATAATTTCCAAAGACAGATTTTAAAAGTTGGCATCAAATTAGGCTATACTACAGAAAAATTAAAATCTCCATTGTATGATATAACTTTAATTTTATTCAACTCTAATCAAAGTCAAAGAAATTTTTGTTAAAAGTTATTATACTAAATAGCATCAAAAGTTATTATTTCTTTAATAGATACTAATACAGAAATGTATATTAATGGGCTGAGTCTTATTTCAATTTCAAATCATGTTTGACTTTCTTCACATTGATGTTCTAAATTTGGGGTTGAATATTAACAGAGATTTAGTCTTTTAAATATAATTTGGTGTATTTTTAGCCCTTTTCATGGTATAGTAAGTCTATTTAAAAATAAATCTAGGTACACCAGGTGCGGTGACTCATGTCTATAATCCCAACTCTTTGGGAGGTCGAGGTGGGCAGATCACTTGAGGTCAGTAGTTCAAGACCAGCCTGGCCAACATGGTGAAACTCTGTCTCTACTAAAAATACAAAAAAATTAGCCAGCTGGGGGCTGGGCGTGGTGGCTCATGCTTGCAAGCCCAGATTTTCAAGAGGCCAAGATACAAGAATAGCTTGAACTGGGAGGCAGAGGTTGCAGTGAGCTGAGATCTTGCCACTACACTCCAGCCTGTGTGATAGGCGAGTCTCTGTCAAAATAAATAAATAAAAATAAGATTACTCTTTCTCTGTATTTGTTCATTATAAAATCTAGGCTACAGAGAAATTGTTGACTTGCCTGAAATGCCTGTTAGGAATCTTTAAGGATTGTAGGATTTTTTAAAACAGAGACATTATAAGCCAGACTAAAGGAGATGACTTACATCCACATGCATCCAGAGTTTGTGCTTCTCACAAATATCAGCAATGTCAGGGAGAGGATCGAAGGCTCCGTACACTGTGCTTCCGGCTGTGGCACAGACACAGAATGGAGTTTGGCCCTGGTGATGAAAACAACAGAATCATTCTTACAATCTCATAAAGTCCACAGGAACTATATACAATACGGGTACTCATTACACTTCTGGATGTCAGAAATCTGGATAACTTTGATTAGGGACATTGAATAGCTAATGATTTCAAATATTCTGAGGTACATAATCACTAGAGACAGTAACATAACTGTAAGGTGGATTTATACCTTTCCCTCTCAATTTTATTTATTGTTATTTCTGTTTAAACTTATTTTAAAGAAAGTAACACCACAAACATAGAAATGGCCAAATCCCATCATACAGGAATGACCCTGATAAATTTGCCTTTCATATTTAACAAAACCAATAATATTAGAAATACTGCAATGCTACTTAATTACACCACTTCAGTTTTATAAGAAATTTCCCACATTTTGTATTTATTCTATTTTTTTCAGCAATTTTCTTATCAGTTATTTTTCAGTAATAAAAATAGGTAAAGTATATAAAGATGTTTGCATGTTAAATATAGAACCGTAGAACATACCTTTTTTTTAGCTTGTAATATATTTTTCTCTAACTCAGCTGGAATCATCTTTCCCCTCAAAAATGCAAATACACATTGATTTATTATATGCATATAAACATACAAATTCTACCAATTAGAGTAAGTGTTGTGCAAGATTTTAAAACAATTAGTTTTTAGTGTCTCCTAAAGATATTTATAAGTGTATGAATAGGTAGTAAATGTTCAATTCATTTAAGCCATGTTTAAGTTAGAGAATGCTTCATCTACTATTCAGTCATCTTAAAATCTGCACTCTTACTAATCAGAAGATTCTGATCATTGTAAGGAAGATACAAAATAATAAACTCTTTCGATCATTTTTTTTCTTCCCTTACTTTGTTATTTAAAGTAATTAAACTTTATTTATTTATCTATTTATTCATTTATTTGTTTTGAGACGGAGTCTCGCTCTGTCACCCAGGCTGGAGTGCAGTGACGCAATGTCGGCTCACTGCAAGCTCCGCCTCCCGGGTTCACGCCATTCTCCTGCCTCAGCCTCCAGAGTAGCTGGGACTACAGGCGCCGCCACCACGCCCGGCTAATTTTTTGTATTTTTCGTAGAGACGGGGTTTTGCCGTGTCAGCCAGGGTAGTCTTAACATCCTGACCTCGTGATCCACCGGCCTCGGCCTCCCAAACTGCTGGGATTACAGGCGTGAGCCACCGCGCCCGGCCCTTAAAACTTTAGTTATTAAGACCTCTTGATATCAAGATTAAAAATATCAGGGTTCAAATTTGAGGGGGGATGGGAGTGGCATAAATTAAGGTGGCCTCACATTTCTTCACAGCATGTTTCCATGAAAGAAATTAAAGCCAATATTTTTCTACTCCATTCAGCTATGAGACTAATTGCAGGCAGGCTTAGAGATAATTCATTGGAAACATTTTAATTAAAGTCAGTACTAAGATAATAATGCTCACTAGCTTCAATGTTCTATTTTCTTTTTGAAAAAAACAGAGATAGATAATAAAATAGGAAACCTAATTGGAGTACATATATTTGTGTATCTAGAATGCCTAAAGTTGTTCATAAAAAATAAGAATGTTGAGCAAGTTACAGAGGTAAATTATGACTCAATTTCTTAATACCAATTATTGAAAATAAATAGCAGAAAAATTCTATTAATAATAGTAGAAGTGATGTAAGATATCTTTGGGGTGGTAATTCTCAGGAAATGTACAGGGACAAATGTGATAAAGCTTATTGAATAAACTTATAAAAATATTTGCAAGATACTTTATACTCATATATTGTATTTCAGAATTTCATAATATATAAGTGTTTCTTATAAGCCAATAACAACTAATAAACTACTACTAAAAAATAGGCAGAGGACATGCACAATTTACAGTAATATACAATTGGCAGGTCAGCATATTAAAAGATTTCTGTTGTTTTGAACAATAATAAACATCATTTCTATCAGATTTTCTAAGTATAAAAATATTTATAATATTTTGATGTTACATTTCAGATAAGAATACTGGCCGGGCGCGGTGGCTCAAGCCTGTAATCCCAGCACTTTGGGAGGCGAGGCGGGTGGATCACGAGGTCAGGAGATCGAGACCATCCTGGCTAACATGGTGAAACCCCGTCTCTACTAAAAAATACAAAAAACTAGCCGGGCGTGGTGGCGGGCGCCTGTAGTCCCAGCTACTCGGAGGCTGAGGCAGGAGAATTGGCGTGAACCTGGGAGGCGGAGCTTGCAGTGAGCCGAGATCGCGCCACTGCACTCCAGCCTGGGTGACACAGCGCGAGACTCCGTCTCAAAAAAAAAAAAAAAAAAAAGAATATAACTAAAAATGTTTAAAGGGCAAATGGAAAATTTGTATTGAAATATAAATTCACACAAAATTTGAACCTAGAGGCATTCATATGAGAGATATTCATAGAGAAACTAAAATACATTTATTAAATTGCATTCATTTAAGCATTGCTCTTAAATACTAAAATCAAAGGGAAAACTTATGTCTTTTTAAATAGGACTTGTAAAATTATGCTGCATTTATAAAATAGGAAACTGATGTAACTTAAGAAAAATAAGAAAAGTCTGTGTGAATTCATGAGACAAGATTTTGAAGACATACCATAAACCCAAAGGAAATAAAGCAAATTACAGAACATAACCCAGAATTGATTTATGAAGAAGTTTGATACTAATAAAAATTATATCCAGAATATGTGTAAAATTTGTAATATTGCTTATTTCTGAAGAATGAGATCCAAGGAAAATATAAATATATTTTCACCTTGTACTCTAATAACACAGTTGAAGTTTTAATTTCCAAACATCACTATGTTGATGATTCAATATGTTTCATAAATATAAAATAGGGAACAAATATATGGCAACAGAATTTTCATAAGGCCATAGTTAGTAATAAATGTCAACAATAGGGTAAATAATTTTGAAACTTCTTCCATAATGACTTTTCTCTAAAATACAAAAAAAATGAATCTGGGAGAGGATTCTTGCCAAAAAATGGAAACATAGGCAAATGAAATCCTAATCCATGAAGCATAGTAACCATAAAACTTTGAGAATGTATTAAGAAACATACCTTTCATCACATTTTACTTCAATCACATTATCAATTCCACTACCAAATATTGCTGTAGCTTTTTTTTTAATTGAGTAATGACCCTTGGGCAATAATATAAAAAAAGAAAAGACATTACTCTCCACATGAAATCCCCATTTACACACAAGTGCACTTGGGGCACATATGCATGGCTTTGAATGGGTCTGTGAATTTACATGCACACAGGTATCAAGGCATATTTCCAGGACCCCATCATGACATTTGTTGGGATCTAGAATGTTGTAGCACCTCTTTCCAGAAGGCACTGTCACAGAATAAAACTCTTCACATGCTTGGGTGGAAGCTTGAATATTTCAGTTCTCTGCATACACATGAAGCCACATCATTTATAAAGTTAGTGACAGTATCCTCCAGGAATATCCTTTTCTGCTCTGGACCGCTCTAACTCCTGCATTTGAGATTTTTTTGGAGACAGAGTCTAGCTCTGTCGCCCAGGCTGGAGTGCAGTGGCACGATCTAGGCTCACTGCAACCTCCGCCTCCCAGGTTCCACCAATTCTCCCGCCTCAGCATCTCGAGTAGAGTAGCAGGGACTACATGAGCACGTCGCCACGGCTTGCTAATTCTTTGCATTTTAGTAGGAATGGGGTTTCACCGTCTTGTCCAAACTGGTCTGGAACTCCTGAGCTCAGGCAATCTGCCCGCCGCGGCCTCCCAAAGTGCTAGGATTACAGGCTTGAGCCACCGCGCCCGGCCCATTTGTGATTTTTGTTTGTTTGGTTGGTTTTGTTTTAAAAGGCATGAGGTCCTATGAATGCACTGAGTCTTCCATTGCCTGTAATTCTTAATTCTGACTTTTACACCCATTTTTATCTCTTGCCTGCTAGTTTATTTGTGCTTGTATCATCCTGTCTTATGTAAATAATACTAGCAAAACAGAGGTAATAGCAGCTCCAAAGATAAATTTGGCCTGGATTATTTTTAGTTGCCAGGAAAAGACCAGATAAACCTTAACCATGTTTCTATTTCAATAAAGAATACACAGGTTAAATAACAAACTGATTTCTTAAAGATCAATATTATGGAATTTCAGCTTATTTACTGATTATATGTATTTTAAAATTGTATTTCAAATGATGAAAATTGCATTTGTAAACAAGCATGTTAAGTTCTGTGAAGTTCTGTAAGGCATTGCATTGAATATAAAGTAGTAGTTTCCAACTTGATAATTTATAGTAAGTCCTTAACAAAGCCATAGGTTCTTGGAAACTGACTTTAAGCGAAAAGATGTATAACCAAACCAATATTTTTTCCACTTTGGCATTATAATAAAGCAACTGATATAATTCAAGGATCTGTTGTATGTTGTTTCTCTTAAAGTTACAGTTTCCAAGAACCTATGAGGTTAAGTGAGGACTTCGTATATAGATGTGTAATGCTAATTTGAGTTTGGCAAAGGGAGTGCACTGCAAAAACAGAAATATTTCAATAAAAACTCTTTGTTTCTAAGCACTTTTAGGTAGAACTCTCAAACTGGGACTGCTACTACATTTTAAGATTGTAAATGTTGCCATGGTAGATAAGAAGAAAGCAATCAGATTTATTACAGGTATAAAAAGTTTTGATGCTATGCACAAGAGTGGAGTACTAAACATAAAGGAGGTATCAGTGGAGATATTGTCAATATCAGAAGAGTTTGGGTGAGGATCTAGTCTTTAAAAATATAGTTTTCTTTTAACTGATTCCTTTAGTCCTAACTGGAAAGATGAAACAGTAATTACATTATTGTTGTTTTTATTCAATGTGAAAAAGAACTATTAAATCTTTGAAATTTTTACTACTTAATTATTTTGGTAAAGTTAGCTGAATGTTTTATATTTATAATCACATTTGTTTTCCGTTTGTCGTGCTGAAATTAAATTTTAATCCTGAATTATTTGTATTGCTTACCTACAGAGCCTATATTTACTGGGAAGTTTTTTTTTTTCCTTTTCATTATCATTACGTAGATCCAGACTCAGAGATTATCTGAAACACTTGATATAAGCATAATGCTAATATTCTTAATCTTTATCAGGTTATCGTTGATGATTCTTAAAAGTTGGAAAAAACCTACACTTGATACTTACTTGCTCAGAAACAAATAATACAATGCATGGAAGTGCAGTCATGCCTTTTGTTTTTATCTCTGGATATTGTTTATAGTGAGCTACTAAAATACCACAGAGGTTTGATATCCTGCCACCTATGGAAGAGAAATAATGACCATTAAGCTAATTTCAATCCTGAGAAATGTTTATTGAAATATAACAATTTGGCAGTTTCTGAAACTAATGAGTGCTAAATCACTGTTATTTTAAAATTATCCTTCCCTGAAATTGGTGAAAGGTCAAACAATGAAATTTCCACTTTTAGATTTCTGGAATTTTATTTGCAATGATAGCGCAATGGCTTACGAATGTCTGTCTGTCAAAAATAACAATATTAGTTGGAATACATTCTGAGTGTCTCCCGATAGGTATTTTATTTAGCTTACAGAAAGTTGCTTTTTCTTACCAGGTAAAAATATTCCGTCTGCTTCTGTTTCTCCCCAGCCAATAATTTCATACATTTTGAGAAGAATTGTCTCCATGACAGTAAAAACTGGGGCTATTTCATATGTAAATCTATAATACATATCAATAAATTCCACCGTGACTTATATTACACAGAAGAGGCAAAGTAAAGTCATGTGTTAACAAGATCATATACTTTTAAATTCTATATTAGACTATGCAAGAAATGGTTACATTTTATATATTCTAAATTGCTTATTCCAGATTGAGTATATTAGTTCTACAAAGAAAGCGTCATGACTGCCATTGTTTTGTGCAATATCTGAACGTTTCTTTCCCACCTGCAGGAATCTTGAAAGCGACTCCCATCCCTTCAGAACACACAACATAGTTTAGGATCAGAAAATGTCCAGTTATTAAAAAAAAAAAACCTATATATTCCTTAATAGACAAGTTAAAAAGACATAGATCTGGAGTTGCAGACAATGTTCTGCAGAACTTGGAAAGGGTAGAAAAGGCCTTTTCTAGAAATTGATTGATAAACATCCTTTGTGTAAGGATTGTACTTTGAGGAAACACACCAAAAAACAACTAAGAGTTATTATGTTTTCAGTAATAACAGCTGTAAAGCAAGAAGATAGCACATGACAAGAATAACCCAGGGAAAAGGATTCAGAGATGACCATGATGGGAACTCTCCCTCTGTGTCACACTGTGCAATTAGAGTCAGTTCTTCAGAAAGCAAAAGCTGGAATTCAAGGCTATAAGCTTTCCTTTGTGCACACTCTGTACAATAAACAATGAAATATTTACAGTGGGTTCTGAAATCTAAAGGTGGCTTTCGTTAGTCTCAAGAAATTCTTTTATTTGTCATCAAAAAATTTTAAAGGCTCCTTTAAGTGTCCTTCAACATAGATATTGACATCAGGAATCATTTATGTGCTGCTTTGGATGCTCTCAGCTTGTTCTGCCTCTAAGGCCTTTGGACAGTATTCAGGCCCAGCCACGCTCACACACAGCCCTGACCTAACAGCAAGTCACCTTCTCTCCTGCCAGCAGTCACTGGCCTCCTGCCCAGAAGTTTCCTTTTCAGCCTAAAACCAAGAATGCCCATCCATCAGGTAGCGGGTAGTCAATATATCCTGTGGTACAATCCTTTGGCCCTAGGAGACCTGGTAGAGAGTAAATTCTTTCCCCTTCCTCCCCGCAGATGAACTGTCCTGAGAAGCACAAACCCCGGGGAATCAAGCACTCACTGTGCTTATATTCGTGCTTAGACCTGCCTGCCAGCCAGGTCTCTAATGATTCCTCATACCGCTCTACTGTCCTTTCCCTTCCTGACCCACTTCATTACTTCTCAACCTTGCCCTTTCATATGGCATACCCTAAAAATAAAGTAAGACAGAAGCTCTTGCCTCCAGCTCTGCTCAGAGACACAGACTAAGACACTGACTATTAGAATTAAGATTTTAGTTCTAAAAGGAACAAAGTAAGAAGCAAGTCTTCTGAACCTCTATTTCAGTAGGGCTCAATTCTGCCAGAATGTACTGTGTCAATTTCAGCTTCCACACGTGACCTTTGTGATCCTATTTCACCTCTACGGAGTATGTATTATTATTTTCAGGAAACAGAGACTCACTAATCTTCATAGCATTGTAGAGTGGTAGAATTAGGAATCCAATTTGATTTTCTCTAATTCCATCTAACATGCTTTTGCACCATCTTAAGATTATGATAAGAGACATCCAGTCATTAAGAATGAGGAAACTTTTTGAAAATAAAAAAGCATCTATCTCTTAAATTATTTCTCTTTGCATCTACCACCTATGCTTTCCACTATTCCTCTATTTAAGTTCAATAGTATGTATTTTCTTCACATAGGGAATGGTTAAGTATCATAACAATGGGATTCCAAACTATGGAATATAGTTTATAAATGTATATTGTATAATGTATAACATATAAAATATATTGTCTGGAAAGACGGTATTGCTCTATTCAGGCTTAACTAAAGAGCCATTACAAAGCAAAAAAAAAAAATTAAAAATAGCAGTAAGCTAACTATGCTATTGTTATTTGCATTTCATTTCTACAAAATACTAATTACTACCATGAACTATGCATCATTAAAATCTCAGTGATAACTAAACAGTTAAAACAAACCTCAGTTTTCCCACATAACAGAGCAGACTCATAAGTATTTAATTCTTGGTTTTAAAGTTTGAAGTTCTACCAGCTATCTCTTTTGATTGCTAAATTATATTAACATCTGACACAGACTATTCCTTTCAATTTAGTATCCAATCATCTCTCTATCCTTTTTTACATTGAAAAATATTGCCTTAAAATTAACTTCAAAACACATCAGCAGTATATCTAATTGTCTTACGGCCATGAGTTTTGCCATGGCAAAGGTCAATATTTTAAAATAATCATGTCAAAGTTGAATCTAACTTTTCTTTAAAAGTTTACTCAATATGATTGAGGTTCTAATTTATATTCAGAAAACTTTTCATATATATATATATATATATATATATATATATATATAATTTATTTTAGTTTTTTGTTTTTTATTTTGAGACTGAGCCTCCCTCTGTCTCCTAGGCTGGAGTGCAGTGGGGCAATCTCGGGTCACTGCAACCTCTGTCTCCCAGGTTCCAGCGATTCTTGTGCCTCAGCCTCCTGAGTCACTGAGACTAGAGACATGCATCACCACACCCAACTAATTTTTGTATTTTTAACAGAGATGGGGTTTCACCGTGTTGGCCAGGCTGGTCTCGAACTCCTGACCTCAAGTGATCCACCCGCCTTGGCCTCTCAAAGTGCTGGGATTACAGGTGTGAGCCACCGTGCCTGGCCTATATGTGTGTGTATTTTAAACAACTATGTGCTGTGGGCTGTTTTGAGTAGGGTTGAAATGATTCCACTCCTAGAACTTAACTCCCAGTCCACACCCTAACATCTGAGGCTAATCAAGTAAATTCAGGCCCTGAACATTGCCAGAGAATTTCCAGACAACCAGGTAAACTTTACACATGTCACACAGGAAACACATAGCAGATTCTTTGCATTTCTCCCAAGTTTAACTATTTGTTTTTGACACAGCAAGGATCATATCCAGAAAAATGGAACTTCCACTACCTACATCTTCACTCTTGCTTACATGTGTCTAATAATCTCACATTTCTTGGGTACAGAAGGATATTCACAGGTTGATATTTTCAGTGACTGTCAACCATTCCCCTGCAAGTCCAATCATATCTAGCCCACGGGACAGCTGGTTAAAATAGTGAAGATGTCCTGGAGACAAAAACAAAATTGCAATAGGCCAAAATAAAAACTAGAGCTAAAAAACACTGAAATTTGATAACAGTTTTTCACTTACTGGGTACTCGTGTATCAAGCACACTTAAATTATGTTATTCAGTAAACATTATTGAGGAACTAACCTATACAGAGACCTTCCTAAGTATTGGAGATATGGTGGTAAACCAGATGGGCATAATTGCAATCATGCAGATTTTACAGGTTGGTCACAAAGGAAGACATTAAGCAGATAATGACACAAATATGTTTGATTATAACTGTAAAAAAGTACTACACAGAAAAACAGTGGGTGTGGTAAGTCCATTCCTAGGGTAGTGAAAGTAGCCAGGGTAGTGGGCTGAGGAAATCTCCAGAGAAGTCTTCTTGGAGGAAGTGATTTTTAAGGTAAGATCTAAACTTAAGCATTGCCAGACAAAAAGATTTGGAAAAGGAGCAAACTGAAACAGATCTCAGTATGCTCAAGGGTGAGAAAGGCCCTGCGTCTAAGGAAGGAAGGTCAAGGACGGGGGTGTGTACAACTACTTCCATGGACCAGTTAGGCCAAGCGGGGAGAAGCCATCTAAAACATTAAATAATTTTCACTGAAAAGGTGTTTATGTTTTTGGGGGCATAATATTAGATCCTTTTACAATGATTTTTGAAGATTTATATTAGTAAGTAATCTTTATTAGTTGTCAAATTGAACAATCTATATTTGATATAATTTGGGTATTTGTCCCCTCCAGATTTCATGTTGAAACGTGATCCCCAATCATGGAGATGGGGCCTAATGGGAGGTGTTTGGGTCATGGGGGCAAAGGCCTCATGAATGGCTTGATGACATCTCTGCTGTAATGAGGGAGTTCTGGTTCTATTAGTTACTGGGAGATCTGACTTTTAAAAAGGTTCACACCTGTCCTCCTTTTTCTCTTGCTCATTCTCTCACCATGTGGTACACTGGCTTCCCTTGGCCTTCTGCCATGAGTAAAAGCTTCCTGAAGCCCTCACCGGAAGCAGATGCTTGCATGTTTCTTGTACAGCCTGCAGAAATGTGAGCCAAATAAAACTCTTTTCTTTATAAGTAATTATCAGATGTAGGTATTCCTTTATAGCAAGACAAATGGACTCACACAATATCCAACTTGGTTTAAAGTAATCTTCCCTGGGATTCCTGGCTTACACCTGCAATCCCAGCACTTTGGAATATAATTCACAAATTTATTTTGTATGATAATTTATGCAACATATAAAACAAATCATATTGTCTGGAAATACAGTATTGCTCTATATAGGTTTAACTAAAGAGCCATTATTAAGCAAAAATAGAAACTAAACATAGCAGTAAGCTAAGTAGGCTATTTTTATTTGCATTTCATGTCTACAAAATACTAATTACTACCATGGACTATGCATCATTAAAATCTTGGTGATAACTAAACAGTTAAAACAAACCTCAGTTTTTCCACAGGGCATGGGGCCGAGGAGGGCAGATCTCTTGATCTCAGGAGTTTGAGACCAGCCTGGGCAAGATAGTGAGACCCTTGTCTCTACAAATCATACAAAAATTAGCCGGGTGTGGTGGTACTTTTCTAACCATTTCATATGTATTATTCAATCCTCATAACATACAGTTAGGATGTAGGCATTACTATTGTTAACACGAATAGCAATATATGGTAGATTTCGGATTTATAGGTGGATCAGATTAAATCCAAGGGCCATTGCAAATTAATAGTTTAAAATATTGTCCTAAAATTATCTTTAATAAAAATATTGAGCCAAACCTCCGCTCAAACAAACACGTCATTCTTAAGTGTCTTTTAGTGTGCTAGGAAATGTAGTGGGGGAAAGGAAGTACAAACTATGGTTCCTGAAATCAAGGTAATTACCCATAGCTATATGTAGAAAATATAAGGTAGCTGTAAAATGATATATGACTACATTTTGTACTTTTGATTTTCATAAGCTTGTAGTATTGTTTCCAGGTTTAATGAGTTTTTTCTTAAGTTAAATGAACTATTTTCCTTTCCAAATATTGCATTTGTTAAGACTATAGAAAGATTAACTTGGTTCAATTTTTAAAAATTGAATGTTTAAGCACTTTGAGATGTTTATTCATGGTAAAAGAAAAATTTTATTATAGTTTTTTAATAAAGAATACAAATCCGATATATTAAGAAATTGTGCATAGTTAAAATGTACAGATTACAGTAACATGAGATGATTTACACATCATGAAGTATATTTAAAAATAAAGTTTCATATTACACATTCACCCTATAGACATATATTAGGTTAATTCTACGTATATTTTTTTCTAGAAGATAAGGGTAATTTTACATTTCCCTGCTATAAACAATAAAATAAATTCTGAAGTAGCTAAAGTTTTAAGAGTGTCACTTCTTTTAAATAAGCAATAGAAACAAATTCACAAGAAAAAGTGAAATTTTTAAAAACCCTTTACATGAGGCAATATTGCAGAAAGTTTGTATATAAATTATGTAGAAGCCCACAAATTTTGTATATTGGCATAAGAATTACACTCCACTAATAGCTCTACTACATGTTGAATCTACAATCTAAAACTATGTTAAACTTTATATTTAATAATAGTTAAGTGCACAAGTAATATGAATATTGTTAATATACTTCTGTCAAAATATTTTAATAATAATTATATAAAATTAGACTGTTATTTTACAGTCTGCAGTTTTTAGCAAGTAGCAAAATATTACTCAAAGTTTTTATAAAAATGTATTCTCTCACCTACTAGTAATTTCCATGTCTTCTTACAAAATTTCAACTTACTTGCCAGGCTATATCCATGTTTCTTGAAATCCATGTGCAGTGAAAAAAAAAAAATACTGTGTACTTTAAGAGAATTTTTGGAGCTGGAGAGTATTTTCTTGCAGTGAAAAATAACTCAACCATTGAAGATTTTTTACTGCTGTAATTTATCATACAGACTCTTTTAAAGTCTTTCCTTTGAGGTCACAGGAATAATTCTATTATTTGTAAAATGGGTGGAGATTCAATGCTTTTATTTTGTCAGAGAATTAACTGACAGATGGTTGTAATGCATTTGTGTTTAAACATCACTTGCTTTAGTGCTTTTTAAAAGTATAATTTAATGTTAAAAACATAAAAGGAATGGGCTTCAACTTCCCTTAGACAATTACAACTTTTATCTGCAAGATTGTGTTAGTTACATAACATTCTAGGGTAGACATTTAAAAAATATGCATGAGACTATTAATAGTATGAGTCACATCCTTGTAATGCAAGAATTACTTTTTACTTTTGTATTAAAACTCTAAAATTTAAAATAATCCATAATGATTATCACTGTGAACCCCATTACCAGGTGTCTATTGTCAGCTTATCTCTGTCGAGTAATGTGCAGGTCAACGTTATTTGTATTTATTAAATAAGTTTTACACATGTTCCTAAATATAAAAATATTGATAATTTACATAACAAAAGCATCTGAAAATATGTTATTCTCCACCCTAGGCATTTAGGTGCAACTTACAAACAGATTAAGTAACTCTTAATTCATTCTAATAATAATAGAAAAATACTGGAAACTGTCAAAGTCTGTTGACAACTTTCAAACATGATTTGGGCCAGTTTTTCAACTTCTGTTTTCTTCTTAATTAAGGAGTTCGCTAGAGCCTCTAACAGAAAACAAAGCCAAAAAACCCCACTGTATTTGGTGATTTCAAAAACCCCTTCCTCCTTTGCTTTCTTCCTGCTTTCTGTGGAGTTGTTCCATGATTGTGGAAATGGCATAGAACTAGGAAAATAGGGAATAAAAGCTCCATGTCTACATATGTTCTCTTTTCTTCAGTGACCTGCTTCTTGGCTCTAATAGTGTCACCGTGTCTTTTTTGAAAGATTGCCCCATTATCTTCATTCAGAAAAGAGGAGCTCAGCTTCATGACTCCCGGACATCTACTCATCCCTGTTAATAAACCCACCCACGTTATTCTAGTGTATATACTATCTGTGAGTTAACTCTCCACTGTCCTCGGCACTGATAGGATTCTATCCTGCAAGGTTTCCTCCTTCCCCTCTCTATTTTCATCCTTACCTGTTCCTCGCCCCTCAACATTATAACCACCAGCAACCTAGCTTCAAAATGACTCCAATAATCCCACTTCAAAGGAAATGGATTTTGAGCCATAAAGCTTCTTTAGCTATTTTTCCACTTCTTTCCCTTTATGTCCTAGCACTTGGCAATTAGACCTTTGTTTACAGACATGCTGAGCATGAAACTAACCCTCTCAAGGCTCAAAGGGAAAGTAATTTTTTTGAATTTTTACTTTAGCCTAATTTTATACATTTTTAGCACACATATAAATCGAAATTGAGACCACTCAAAAATTTTCTCTGCAAAACACATAGTGCTTTCTTAGATTATACTACATTAGATAGAACTAAAAAAAAAAAAAAAAAAAGAGAGTAATACTTTTCTCTTAGGATTGCTAATAATAATAAAACCTATAGATGTCTTTTTGGTTGTTGTTTCTTCTTTTTCTTTTGTATTTCTTTCATTGGCCCCCTTCCGTGTTTCATACAGTGTTAAAAATTCTCCATATGTTGAAATCTGAAATATTGTCTTGTTCTGTATCATGTCTTCTTTTACCTCAGTTTCTCCATCAATACAACGGACATGGTAATATTATCTACTTGTGGATATGTGCTATCAAAGGAGATAAGAGCTCTAAAGTGTTTCTTACAATCTTTTAATTCTTTATATTATCATTTTTTCTCTGGCCATACTGACAGACAACCAAACAAAAGCAAAATAAACAAACAAAAAAATTTGGATGATGCCACCATTCTGACCAAAAACTTTTAATAATTGCCCACCTACTATATTACAGTCTTTAGGTTGACCCTTTCCTTGCCCTACCTCCTACCACTCATCTACCGAATGTCTGTGTCTAGAAAGTAGGACCACTCACTCTCTTGCACACTTTACTTTTTCTTACTTCCCTGTGTGATATTTTGTGTAATTTCTTCTACTTTAAATAGCTTCCCTCTTTCTTCTAATCCAAAGCCCATAAGTAACATATATTTACTGAGAACTTATTATACATGAAGCACTCTTCTAAGCTAGATTCTTATTTGCTCATTTAATTCTCCTTGTAGTCTTGTAAGATTTACTGCCATTTCCTCTGTCCGTTTTACAAATGACAAACTTAAGGCACAAGGAGATCTTATAGTTTGTCATGGATCACACAGCTAATAAGTGGCGTATCTATGATTCAATTCCAGATAGTCTGGTTCTTAAGTCCTCTCTTAACTACCAATCTGACTTCTGTCTTCTAGGGTTCAAGTGATATCTTAGTAACTCCATAAATACTTCTTTATCTCTTCCACTAAGATGAAGTGATATTTATTTTCCTCTGAATTATCACACCAAATATTTGTCAATTTTTATAGAGCTTACTTGGCAGTCTAAAGAATGTATTAGACATTCTGTGTTGATGTCTGAAGGAGGTACCAAATGTTCACTCAGTATTGTCCTCAAGGAAGTACAATTTGGTAGAAAAGAGAGTAGTGAACAGAAAAAAAATATTTTGATAATGTGAAAGGTGCTACATTTATAAGATTATAACCATTGGTTCGGGTAGAGACATGGGACAGGATGGTTAGGGAGAGTGTTGCCGTGGTGTTCTAAAAGCTTTTAGCAGAAGAGTTAAGGCAATCCAGAAGGCCATCTAAGGCTCTCTAAAGAGGGTGATATAACATGGTAATTGGCATTTATCTATGGGATGCAGAAAGAGAAGCATACTCAAGGAAAAATAAAACAAATGCATAAGGTCTTCAGAGACCAACTGAACAAATAAGAGAAAGCTACAGTGTATGGTACAGCCCCAAAAACCAAAAGAAAGAAATCATCCTACAGGGTGGGAAGGATACGTGAGTGTGTTTTGTATTCATCCTTTACAGCCCAGAAAACCAAAAGGAATAAATCATCCTACAGGGTGGAAAAGATTCGTGAGTATGTTTGGCATTCATCCTTAAAGCAATAGAAAACCAGAGAAAGGTTTGAACTATGGAGGAATGACATGATTGTGGTTTTCTTACGGTTGTGGAAACAATGGTGATGGGATGATAGCTGAAAGTATTAACTAAGTGGCTCAGTAAACCTTTGAGCAAGAATTCTGTATCACCTATGAGATTCACAAAGACTAGAGATAGAGACACATGCCAGCTGGCAAAATTCTTTCAAGTGAATTCCAATTTAGGTGCATAAAATTGAATGATGATGGCACTATACAATATAAACTTATAAAAATAATATGGAATTATGGGGGAAGAGAACCGCATTTCAATTCAGAGAATAAGAAGGAAAATAGTTTATGGCCATTGAGCCTTTAGTATGTAGCAGGCTCTATTTTAAACTCTTGATAAGTGATAACTTATTTAATACTCAACAACGTAATGAAGTAGCTTAGTAGTTAAAATTGTTTACAAGTGCTTTAATAGAAACCAGAATAATAGGGACTTAAGTCAATGTTAAGATTTATTTCTCTTCTGTATAGAAGTCTGGACTGGTAGGTGGCTAAGGGCTGTCACACTGTTGTGTTCCATGAGGTCATGCAGAGCCCTGGGTTCCTTCTTTCTTGTCATTCCTTAGATCAATGCTGCCTGATAGAAATTTAAGTGAACCACATGTGTAATTTTAAATTTTCTATTAATCACATTTTTCAAAAGTAAAAATAAACAGATGAAATTAACATTAGGGATATATTTAATTTAACCTAATAGGTCCAAAATGTGATCATTTTAAATATGTATTACCTCTCAATTAGGATGCTAAATTTCATTGGAAATACTTGGTCATATTTAGGTTTCACAAAAATCTTGTTTGGAAAATGTTAATATACACAAATTGTTTCAACATACAATTTTTCAATAACTAAATTAAGTATTTGTTTTTAAATTTAAAGTAATTAAAACCAAATACAATTAAAAATTCTTGTATTCAGTCACACCAGTCAATTTCATGTGCTCAATAGCCACATGTGGCCAGTGGCCACTGTACTAGACAGCACAGGTCAAGAGTATAGCCTTCATCCACTTTTCATCCACTAGCTCACTAGCACTGTATCTGAATTCCAGAGTAAGAAATGGGGGAAAAGGGGAATGAGAGAAATTAGCCTAAGGCTTAAGGTAGGAGGCTAGGATAGAAATTACAGTCTCAAGCTTGATGGACATCTTCCTTCCTTTGTTTAGAGGCAAGGAGGAAGAGAATAAGGGCAAGGATGTTCTACCAACACAAAATTGAAGAAATGGATATTGGAAAAAACTAGTAGTCCACGTCACATGTGGATACTTTTGTAGCACTATTTTTCAGACAAGAAAAGGGAGGCACAAAAATTTATGTATCTACTTTTATACACTTGTTAACTAGTAAGTTGAAAAAATTAGTATTTCTACCATAATATAAAGGATGTGAAATTTGAACGTTATCCAATATATCAGATTTTGACAATTGTTATCTAATGTTTTATTTATTTTTTTACTTTACCTGTGTTGATACTCTGGCTCTTAGATTGCATGAGTTTTAAGGAAATGAAAAAAAAAAAAGTCATTCAATTCCTTTTACACTTTCATGGTGCCTAATATCATTCTTTACACATTTATAGGATGCTTAGCTATACTGTGAAGTCTAAAAAAGAACTAAGTTATTCTTTCACCTGAGCCGTATTTATTAGGTTTTCCACATAATTTTTGATTATCTGAGTTCAAATAGAAAGATACATGTGAAGACAGAAAAAGTAACTACAACTAAAAAACATAAAGAAACAGCAACTTAATAAACAC